TTCTTCATCCAGAGAGTCTTATTTTCGGGAGACCACCCAAGCCTGAGACTTTTGAGCAGTGGACGGAGGAACGGCCCACGAAAGACGCAGTTCAAGAAGAAGGTGTTTTTCTTTTCATGTTGAAAAACTACATGGAAATGTTCCGAGTCAGTTGACACGAGAGAATTGTGGTGATGTGAGGCACAGACAAATATATACACACGTGCATGTTTGCGGCCAATTGTAGTTTTGGCCTTTCTGTCGGTGTGTTGTGAATTAAGAGCGGCGAGGAAGGGAGTTTTATTTGTTTTTTATGCACACGCGACGTTAGGGTATTTTTCCCCTGCAATTGTGTGTATTTGATTTTTTTCTGTCTTGAAGTAGTTAGAGAAGGTAAGGTGGATGCTGCGTCGTGTTGGTGTCATACGGCTTTGGAGGCCGTCGAGGCCGCTTGCAACTCCCGCTGCGGGTTCCTCTCTAAGCAAAGGAACTCCCTCGTCTGCGTCCTCTTCAGCGTCAATATCGCCGTCTTCTCTGGCGATCCTGAAATATCCGTACGAGGTGGTGGATACACCAGAAAAGTTAGACGAGGCCGTTGGGTCGTTGCTGAAAGCCCGTTCCATTGCCCTTGACATTGAGGCTTTCTGTACAACCGAACAGGCGAAACAGTTGGGGCGTATTTCCCTTCTACAAGCATGCTCAGATGCGAAACCGGTGGTGTTTCTCTTTGACGTACTGACCCTTACGGCACCAACGTTTGTTAAGAGTGTGGAGCCCTTCTTGCGGAATCGGGGAATAAGAAAACTGCTCTTTGACTGCAGACGGGATGTAGAGGCTCTTAGCTCTCAGCTGGGCCTGAAACCGGAGGGCGTATTGGATCTGCAGGTATTTTTTACTGCCATTCAGTGGAAACTTCGTAGTGTGAACCGCCGTTCGGGCATGACGTACGTGCTGAAGAGCGTTGCTGGTCTTACACGACAGGATGGTGATTCTGCTGTGCAGGCCGCTATGGCACTTGGTAACCGCCCCGTGTGGGACATTCGCCCATTGCCAGATCATTTTCTGGAGTATGCTGCCGATGATGTGCGGCATATTCTTCTTTTGGCCAACCATCTCGTGGAGAAGAGAGAATTTCCAGTGGATTTAGTCTCCGTGGAGCGTCTCACAGCCCAATATGTTGAGCACTATGCCGTTGGAAAGCCCGTTACCGAGGAGGCCGATGCGACACCAGCCGAAGTAAACGTTGCTTGGTTAGAACGATACATTGGGCCGGGCGGGGTTTGCCACTTCTGTGGCGCCAAGGGCCACACGGAGGCCGAGTGCTTCAAGAAGCAGAACGGGAAAGCCAAGTGCTCATTTTGCGGCGAGAGTGGGCATACAGCAAGAAACTGCTTTAAAAAGCATCCACAACTACTGAAGTGTGAAAAATGTGGACAACTTGGGCATACCAGTGCAAACTGCTTCCGAACAAACCCTTGTATTCACTGCGGTGGTCCGCACAATAGTGCCAATTGCCACAAGATGTTGCGGCAGCGAAACTTTTTTGACGAAAGATCCTCTTCTTGAATGGATGGGAAGGAGGATACAGTTGTTTCCTCTGGTTTCCTCTTTTCACCCTTTGTTTCTCTCTGTCTGGTGTGGCGTAGACGATACGGAGAAAAAAAAAAATTGTGTTGATGGCAGACTTATCGCCCTCTGTCATTTGTGTTTTTTGTTTTTTCTTCCTCGCTCCCTTCTCTACCTCTTGGGAGGTGGGGCGGGACGCAGAAGAAAAGAGGGCTGTTGTCAAGACTTTTTTTTTTTTTTCTTGATACCTTGTGTGACTGTGTGACTTTAATTTCCCATTATTTCTTCTCCCTTTTTGTGTTTATTCTTGTGATCTCTTCGTATCCTTTGGGATGCGGGAATAGAGAAGTGTTTCACTTTGACTGTTTGCTTTTCCTTTGCCTTTCTATTTGTTCCATTTTTGTTTTGAAGGAATTTTGCTGTTCCCTTGTTTGGGTATTCCGACCATCCAACGCTCTGTGGCACAGCGGGAAGTAAAATGCTCCGTTTTACCCCTCCCTTTATGCTTTGGCGCCGATGGGCTCCCGCTGCTGTCGCCGCCGCACTGCCAGGTCTCTCGCTGCGGCTCTCGAGCAGTGAGAAGGATTATTACAAGATTCTCGGCGTAAGCCGGACGGCATCGGTGAGTGACATTAAAAAGGCATACCGCAAGCGGGCCCTGGAAACACATCCGGATCAAGGCGGAAAGAAGGAGGAATTTGCCGAGGTTGCAGAGGCCTACGAGTGCCTTAGCAACGAGGAGAAGCGTCGTGTCTACGATCAGTATGGTTCAGAAGCAGCCGCAAATATGAACGCTGCGAATGGGATGGGTGGATTTGGAGCTCACTCGGCTAATGACATTTTTGCCGAATTTTTTAAGAGCAGAATGGGTGGATTTGGAGATGACATGCGACGTGGCCCGGCACAAGTCCAACCCATCGAGGTGAAGTTGCGCATGACACTGGAGGAGATTTATAAGGGGGTAACCAAAAAGCCCCGGGTAAACAGACCCGTGAAGTGTGCTGATTGCCGCGGTTTTGGCACTAAAAGTCAAACAAAGAAGCCGAAATGCGCCCACTGTGATGGCAGTGGACATGTCGTACACCAGCACCGCATGGGTCCTGGGATGGTGCAGCAAACAGTAACGCAATGTCCTCGTTGTGGAGGCTCCGGCACAATGGCAAAGCCAGACGATCAGTGTCCTAAATGTCATGGAATGGGCTACCGTCACCTTTCACAAGAAGTGAACATTGATATTCCTCCCGGTGTGCCTTCAAATGTCACTCTGGTGGTGCGTGGTGAGGGCGGAACGATGCCCGACGCAGAACCAGGGGATTTGCACGTGCATGTTGAAGTGGCTCCTCACAAAATATTTACACGACGTGGTGATGATCTACTGATGAAGAAAGAAATATCCCTCTCTGAGGCTCTTTTAGGTACGCAGTTCTCTGTAAAAATGTTGGATGGACGTCATGTTACGGTAAAGGTGCCTCACGAAAATGTTCTTCGACCTGACAGCGTTCTTAAAGTATCTGGAGAGGGCATGCCAAGTGCCGACGGTGGACGTGGCGACCTCTATGTTATTACGCACTTGAAGATGCCGGCAAAGCTCACAGCTCAACAACGAGAAGCCATTATTCAAGCCTTTGGCAAACCGAACGAGGAGAAGCACACATCTGCTGATAAAACTACTACCGCGCGTGTGATGCGTGAAGGCGCACAAGAACTGGAAGATGCGATGCGCGATCAGTGGGATGCTCAAGAGGGCGGCGGTTTTCGTTCTGGAGCTGGAGGCCATGGGCGCGGCAGACAGAGTTCTCAACAGGCGGAGTGTGTTCATCAGTAGCCTGCGTCCCAACCCCTTTTTCCACCAAAATTGAACGAAATAAAGGCCAGTGCACATGCTCTTCAGTATCGGCCAGCGGTCATTGCGCTTGTAGTTCTGATTAGCACAAGCTTTATTGTACAGTTTAATATCGATCGCTGATCCAAGGTGAGGAAATAGAAGTAAAGAGCATGAGAGTAAGAAGAATAATGAGAGAAGAGGAAACTTTTTTCACCTCGTCGCACGACGAAGGAATTGGTGCACCCTTGACACCCTCACAGAGACAACTTGCACCTCGCCATGGTGCTCATACCAAGGAACCATTATTATTATTACTATTATTACCATTATTATTATTATTATTATTATTATTATTATTATTATTATTATTATTATTAATTTTTTATTTGTTTTTGGTTGTTGTCGTCAATTTAATTTTTTGTGATTATTTGTCGTGCACGCGTCTGATTTCATCCGTGTGATTTAGCGGCTGAGTCACCGCAATTATTATGCGTTGGCCATAACGAAGTGCGGCAATAATCCATGAGAAAGAGAGGGAAGGATGTCATAACGGGTGTTTTAAAGTTTCTATTCACCTTGGTCTTTTTTTTTTTTTTTTTTTTGTGTGTGTATGTGTGTTTGTCTTGAGAATTACACCGCAGTGAATTTACTTTCTTTTTTATTCTTATTATTATTATTATTATCTGTGTGTGGAGGGGGTTATTTCTAGTGCACATGATGGCGCCCGTCTCCTGCAGGGGTCCACGGGCAGGGGACTTTGGCCTTCGCTTAGAAACAGGGGGATATGTTTGACGCAGCCGTTGCCGTGAAGACCGTCACTCGCATTTGAGGCTTTGCGGATGCCCCGGTGCAAGTGAACAAATTGGAGGTAATTTTTGCTGTCACCGCCACCGCCTTTTTTTTTTTTTCTGCACCAGAATATGTTACGGTGGCAATTCTTTGGGAAACGCATAGCCGTGAAGAGAGGGCAAAGTGTTTTCCCGGCCGCCTTCGTATGCGTGAGCAAATGTTTCTTTAGCATCAAATTATGAGAGTGTTGGTGGAGGAGGATTACGACTTGCGCTTGGTATTTGGCACTTTTTTTTTCCCCAATGGTCAGTCTCTATTTTCTTGTGGGTGCATTTATCCGCTTTATGGCGTGTCACTGCGGGACTCCATTTGCGGCCCTAGCAGTGACATCATCATTTTTCTCTCTTTTTTTTTTTTTTTTGTTTTGTGTTTTTGTGGAGAGGGTTGTCTTCCAGTCTTTTTCCTGTGAAGCAGCAGCGATGGGCGAGTTTGCTGCCGCCTCTGCGGCTCCAGTGGGACCCGTTCTGTTTGTTGGCGGTATCCAGCGTTCTTTTTTGGAGCAAATCATTTGTAAAGGGCAATTGAAGCTTGGTACCCTTCGTGAGTATATCTCTCTCTTTTTGTGCGTGTGCCTCCGTACGGGCCTTGCCTCCCTCGCCTCCACTCGTTGCCGTTTCAAGGGTGAGACGGGAAAAAAAGAGAATAAAAAAAAAGCACACCAAGAGACAAATTGGGGTCCACTATATATTTTTGTGTACACGCACGCATAGCGCACCTGATACTTCAGAAAAGGAGCAGAGGACGTTTGGGATAGAGACTAGAGAGAAAGGGAGAAGTTTACATGAGCTCCAAGTATGATCGTGTGAAAGTGAGGGTACATCTTGGTGGCGAACACTACTACACGCTATCACGCTTTACGCTCTCAAAGATGTTGACATTCTGCAAGCTCCCAGTCACAGTGGCGGTAAAGGTGAGCCTAGATCTGAAGAAGCTCCTTGTGGATCAGGAGAAACTCGAGATATCGCAGGCGGAGCTCGAGGCCGCTACTTTTCTCATGATGGCACAGTACGGCTATGGCGAAGCACACGCACAACTCTTCCCTGTGATTACACGCTTCTACGTGGAGCGCGTTCCTCTTGTCATTCTCATTGCAGGAAGTGGATACTGTGGAAAGACCGCCATTGCGCATAGCTTGGGCTCCAAGCTCAATACACATAATGTCGTGAGCACTGAAGTGTTGCTTGAAATAGCCAGCTCCATTTATAATGGTTTCTCCACATCGTCTCTCTCCACTGGGAGTCATGTGGCTGGTCAGGCTTTTTGGCCGCAACCCGAAGAAAAATCTTTGTGGCTTCGTGAAACTGAGACGGAAGAGGAGTTTGTTTCCACATGGTGTACGTGGTCGGAAGCTATTTTTCCGCTTGTTGAGGAAGAGTTAAATAAGGCTGTAACGGAGGGCAAGGTTCTTATTCTGGAGGGAAGCCTTCTTAATCTGGCTGCGCACAGGCCGTACCTTCTGCGGGAATTCCAGCGAAGTCATGGTGCCATTGTGGTTGCTTTTTATGTCACTTCAGATGATGCCTCCTGCCGATTTTTTGTGGAGCGATTTCTCTCTTCCTGTTACGCTTTTCTTCCGTCCCCCTACAGGAGCGACGGGGCCGCTGCAGTGGCGTGGATGATGCAGCGCTTGAAGGCCGTGGCTGAAGTACAAAATCAGTGGTTTGCTGATGGAGGTAGCGGCAGTGGTGGTGGTGGTGGCATGGAGCGTTGTTGGATTTGTGGTGAACGGAGCGGTAATTCCAAGTTGGCCCAAACTTCTGCATGTGACGGAAACGAGATGTGCGTCCGTGGTGCTGAGGCGAGCCTGTCACCGCCACCATCAGCGACATCTTCATCGGCCGTAGAGTTTCCGGAAGGGGCTGAGGAAACCGTTCATGTGCACTTTGTGAATTGCTCCGTGGAGACACCGTTGGAGACCTCCGATGTGATGCAGGAGCTCGTACTAGAGAGAATCATGTTGGAGCTCCGCCAAAGGAAATCATTGCTGTAGCGCACACTGGACAAGTAGAGAAGAAAATGGCGTCATACAGAATCCATTCCCTCTGGAAAGGGATAAGGGAAGTCAATATATTTACGGTTAAATGCGAGTGTTTGTTGATTGTTTGTTGTTGTTGTTTTGGTTCTGTTTTTGAATGCCCTAGCTGTCATTTTCAAATGCATTTTTTTTTTTTTGCTATTGTGTGGATATATTTTTTTCTTCTCCTACTTTTTTTTCTTTTCCTCTTTCTCTCTCCGTAGGTTTACTTCTCTTTCTCTCCGCACCAATGTGTACTGCTTGTTTTACCACGTGTACAGTCACCCTTAGGTCTTTTTGCGGCTGTTTTGTTCCTGGTCGTTGAAATTATTCAGGGTCGGCGAGAGCTTCTCTTTTTGGTCGTCGTTTATTTGTTTATTTTCTCCTAAGTTGCGCTCCTCCGTCTTATCGTACCCACAGAGCGATAAGTAACGCGTGAACACTGTTTTTTTTTTGTTTGTTTGTTTGTTTTTTTTTGTTTTTTTTTCCTGTGTGTGTGTGTGTTTTGGCAGTATTCCCCTTCTTCCCTTTGGTCCGTGGCTTACATCACATTGCGTTGCATTGTATTCGCTCTCTGAAATATATTTCAGTTTGCCGCCACATCCATTTTGGGAGGGAGAGAGAGTGTGTGTGTGTGTGTGTGTCATTCTCTTTCTTCTCAATTCATACATGCCGTTGCTGTTAAAAACAACAATGACGATATACAACGAGGGGTAATGACATCTTTTTATGACTATTTGTTATGAATCTGCATGACTTTTCCCTTCTCTGCTTTTTTTGTTCCCATTATTTGTTTATTTGTGAGGAAGGAACACATGCGTCGCACCCTGAGGTTCAGAGCGGGGTTCCTGCAAAACCTGAACTCCGGCAGGAACAATTTCTTTACATCACTCTGGAATAAACCGCAGACCCGGGACGAGCGCGTAAAGGAGTACGTGCCTGAGGTCCTTGCGGAAAGTTTAGAAGAGCAGCGAGCTGTGTTGGAGGAGAACACTTCCCGTGACGTTATTGTGGAGCTGGGGCACAAGGTGCTCCGGGAAATTGAAAACAAGAGTCCCACGCCCAGTATAGCTCCTCATCTGAACAAGATTATTCAGGAATACGGCTCCAAGGATCTCATTGCTCAGAGACCACTTAGTTATTTGTTGTACCCGAGTTCAACACTGATTGGGGGGCAGCTGCCGAATGAGCTGGTGGCAAACTTTTCGGACAACCTCCGGAGCCTCGTGGAGGAAGTGGAACGGAACGGGTGTTCCGCCAGACACAAATCTGTTAAGGGAGAGAAAAAAGATAAAGACAAAACGAAGAAGGAAGAAAATGTCTCGCATGAGACTAGTAGCAGCGGGGCCAACGGTGAGAATTTGTCCTCCGCTTTAAAATCTGGCCCTGTGGTTATGGCATCAAAGGAAGAGCATGAGCCAATGGACATTACACTTTTCGTGAGGGTAATTTCTGCAATGGCCCTGGCCAACGTGCAACATGGGGACTGGAACAACGCCGTGCGCTGTGTAGATGTAGCCATTGCCCATGTTGTGGAACAGTCGCGGTTGGGAGGGCTTCTTGGTATGAAGGCCGGCATTTTGGTTTATCAGAAAAAGTACGAGGAGGCGGTGGAGTGTGCAAACTTAGCCGTGGAGGCTTCGGGAAACATTCAGGGTTATATTCATGGTGCTTTTGCGTTGCGTATCCTTAAAAGGCCCGCGGAAGCAGTGCAACTTCTTGAGAGGGGACGGGAACAGCATCCAATGAACACGCAACTTCTGGCGCAGATGGAAGGAGCGCAGAAGGATTTGGAACATATGGCGAAGGATGCTAAGACGATGATTAGCTCTTGAGGGGGATATTGGGGAGCATTGGAGATTTATAAAGAGGGATAGAGAGAGAGAGAGAGAGTATAGTTCCAGTTGTTCACATGTCTTTTTTATTCTTGTTTCTTCCCTTCTCTTTCTCTTTGTCTTTTTCCTTTTCCTCTCTTTCTTTCACTCATTTTCTCTATTTTTTTTCTTTTGTCTGGTTGGAGTGCATATGTGCTGTTGGCGTTAGAGAGTGGAGGTCGTTTTGTTTTTTGTTTTTTTTTTTTGCACGTGTGTGTGCTTCTGGTGTCGTTTCTTTCTTTTTTTCTTTCCCGTTGCTCGATTTGTTTTCTGTGGGTGGTTGATCCTAGTGCATTTTGCATCTTGTTTTACTTTGTTCACTTTTTTATTTGTGTGTGGTCTGGCGAGCACCTGCAAAAGAAAGGAAAATAAAAGGAAAAAGGAGTTCTCTTTGCACGTGTCAACTTATTTACGTCGTGACGGCGTGTTATGACGGCCGAAGGCGCCGAGCGGCATCAAGATGCTGGCAATTCGAATGGCCTTTACGCCGTGTCAAAGAAGACGTTGACGAAAAGGAGGGAATCATGTGCACGTCATTCTTCTCTAGTTTCACCCAATTGTCATGACGGTAGTGATGAGAGTTGTCTGAAGTTTTTTATTATTTTCCGCATGGAACAGCACGAGGTGGAGGTGGTGTGGTCCTACCCACTCCCTTTTGCCGCGGTGGAGGCGAGGCACCCGAAGTTTGTAGAGTTTGTCTACTCCAACTCCGGCAATTCGTACTCTGTGGAGGACCTCAGCCACACATTTGTCATGACGGATGGGCACGGGGTTCGCATGTACGGGCACTGCACAGCCTTTGTGAATGGAGAAGCAGCTGTTAGTCTCTCACCATATCCCTGGTGTCGTTTTTTTGCACAACTTGCCACACTCTTTCGCACGAACGGGTATGACCATGGGAAGGCGGTTGTGGAAGCGCTTTGTAGGAGCCCCACACCACCATCCGGAAGTAATTTTGTGCTGTCTACCAGCATTCCCATTGTATTCCAAAGGCCATATGACAGGCTGTGTTCTTTTATTGACACATCCCCCATTGACCTGATTAATATATTTCCGGAGACGGAGACGTTGTTTTCCGTCTTGGCCGATTTATTGCTGGAAAAGCGTGTTATCGTAGTTGGGCCGAATTTTGGCCTTGTCTCGCGTGTAGTGATGTCGCTGCAAAGTCTCATCTCTCCCTTTGATTGGATGCATATTTTGGCCCCCCATTTTACCGAGTAGTCTTATGGACGTATTGGCAGCCCCGACGCCATATCTTGTAGGCATTCTCAACTCACA